GGACCCCGCAGGCCCGAGGGCCACCAACGACCTGGTCCTGCGCCGGGCTCGGCACCAGCAGCTGTCGGGGGACCCGGCGGTGGAGAAGCGGCCTTCCCGGACCGGGGGCAAAGTCATCAAGTCGGCCTCTGCCACTGCCCTGTCTGTCATGATTCCTGCAGGTGAGGCTGGGCCCCGCCTGGGAGGGAGGGCCTGCCCCCGTTTGTGTCAGGACAGGCCAATGATGATGCTGCATTTTTCCCGTCCACAGTGATGGACACTGGGGTGGACCAATGAGAGCTCTGGGACTTTGAGGCGGTGGGGGGAGCAGATACTGGGAGGGCTGTGGTTGCTGCTGGCCTTGACCTCTGGCCACGGGGCTCTGTGTCTGCCTGCAGTGGACCCTCATGGAAGCTCACCCCTGGCCAGTCCCATGTCTCCACGATCTCTCTCCTCCAACCCGTCCTCGAGGGACTCCTCGCCCAGCCGGGACTACTCCCCGGCTGTCAGCGGGCTCCGCTCCCCCATTACCATCCAGCGCTCTGGCAAGAAGTACGGCTTCACGCTGCGAGCCATCCGCGTCTACATGGGTGACTCAGACGTCTACAGTGTCCATCACATCGTCTGGGTGAGCGCCCATGGGTGGGGTCTGTCTTCCAAGATGGGCGTGGGGTAGAGAAACTTCCCTTTAGCCCCCAGATATGAGGGGCAGACAGTTCAGTCTCTGGATCCAGGCAGCCTGGATGAGACGCCTATGACCTTCAATATCCTTCTCCCTCTGAGCTTGTTTCTTCAGTTGTAAACTGGGAGGAATAATGACTACTTCATAAGGTGCTACAAGGATGAAAGCAAACGCAGAGCTAGGTGTGGGGCACGTAAGCTCGGGGAGCTTCCTTGTTGCTGATGCCATTAACCCCGCGCTGTGTGGTGCCCTGTCCCCAGCACGTGGAGGAGGGGGGCCCAGCCCAGGAGGCAGGGCTCTGTGCGGGGGACCTCATCACCCACGTGAATGGGGAGCCAGTGCACGGCATGGTGCACCCTGAGGTCGTGGAGCTGATCCTTAAGGTGAGTGCACGGGAGGGAGGCAGCACCCTGGGGACAGGGGAGCGGAGGTCCTGGGAGCTGGAGCTGCCGGGACAGCCTCCAGCAGAGCATTTGTCCCTCTTCTTCCCCCAGAGTGGCAATAAGGTGGCGGTGACCACCACACCCTTCGAAAACACCTCCATTCGCATTGGCCCTGCGAGGCGCAGCAGCTACAAGGCTAAAATGGCTCGGAGGAACCGGAGACCCTCGGCCAAGGAGGGCCAGGAGAGGTGGGCGGGGCTCGGTGCGGAGGCGGGGCCAGCTGTGGAGGCGGGGCCAGGAGAGGTGGGCAGGGCCAGCTGTGGAGGCGGGGCTATATGCAGCAGGCACAGGGGAACTCGCCAGTGTTTGAACAGTGGGCAGGGCTGAGATGGGAGGGCCACAGCTGTGGACAGGAGAAGGAAGTGTGGGGCCACTGAGTAAAGAGCAAAAACGAGAGGACTGGGCGGAAGCACGGGCTGGGACAGTGCCAGGTTCCTGGGCTGGAGGAAGAACATTGGGGTGGTGTCTCGGGCAGGTGGGCGGGGCCAGCAGATATGGATGAGCAAGCGCACAGTTCAGAAGGTGGTCTTGTCCTTTTGAGTGTGTTTAGTCCCCTGGGAGGGCTAGGAAAAGGGAGTTCTATCTGGAATGAGCAAGCCAGGCAAGACTGGGCCAACTGAAATAATTCCATGCCTTGCAGGTAGGAGGAGCTAAGAGAGGAAAGTGGGGCCAGGAGAGTGTTCTATTTTGTCTTTTAGTTGTAGATTTGATTTTTTTTTATTTCTTTACTGATTAAGGTATCACATATTCGTCCTCATCCCCCCCATTCCCATCCCCCACACCTCCCCATGCATTTCCCCACCCCCCTGTTGTCCTTGACCACTGGTTAGGCTCACATGGATGCACAGAGGTCCTTTGGTTGATCTCTCCCCTTTATCCCTACTCTCCTCTACACTCCCTCTGAGGCCCAACAGTCTGATCCATGCCTCCTTGTCTCTAGGTCTGTTCTTGTTCATCAGTCCATGTTCATCATTTCCCCTAAATGAGTGAGATCATGTCCTACCGGAATAGTTTTGAAATTGTTGTGGGAGGCAGCAATTTAGGTGTTTACCTATGCTGTCATCTTGGTTTCTCCTCGAGTGTTCTATTTTGATTAGTGGGTTTGGCCTGGACAAGTCGTGAGTGGGTATTTAAGTGAGGAGCCAGCCTGAACTGAGGCAGGTGAACCTTTTCCCTCCCTGATTGGTGAGTTGCGGCAGGAGAGGGAGGGACTAGTGAGGTGGGAGGAGCCGTAAGAGGTTGCGAGGAGCCAAGCGGGCCCAAGTGGGAAGTGCTTTCGGTTGTGATAGGTGGATTGTAGCTGGAGAAGGCGGGGCTGGAACAGTGGGAGGCCCAGGGCTGCAGGGGAGCCGGGAGCTGTGCCTTTGGCTCTAAGAAGGTACATGGCCCTCTCCCTGTTCGCCAGCAAGAAGCGCAGCTCGCTCTTCCGCAAGATCACGAAGCAGTCCAACCTGCTGCACACCAGCCGCTCGCTGTCGTCGCTGAATCGCTCGCTGTCGTCCAGCGACAGCCTCCCGGGCTCGCCCACCCACGGGCTCCCCGCTCGCTCACCCACCCACAGCTACCGCTCCACCCCCGACTCCGCCTACCTAGGTGAGCTCTGGCCTGCTGGGCTCCCTCTGCCCCCCTAGGCTCACCAGATGCGCGGGTCCCCAAGAGGCAGCTCCAGGGGGTGGCACTGCGCAGAGGGGAGGAGGGGGAGCGGGCCCCCTGGCGGCGCCCGCCAGCGGAACACCCCCTTTTGCCCGCCGTCAGGTGCCTCGTCCCAAAGCAGCTCCCCCGCCTCGAGCACCCCCAACTCGCCGGCGTCCTCGGCGTCGCACCACATCCGGCCCAGCACGCTGCACGGCCTGTCGCCCAAGCTGCACCGCCAGTACCGCTCGGCGCGCTGCAAGTCGGCGGGCAACATCCCGCTGTCGCCGCTGGCGCACACGCCGTCCCCCACGCAGGCGTCGCCGCCGCCGCTGCCCGGCCACACGGTGGGGAGCTCGCACACCACCCAGAGCTTCCCGGCCAAGCTGCACTCCTCGCCGCCCGTGGTGCGCCCGCGCCCCAAGAGCGCCGAGCCCCCGCGCTCGCCGCTGCTCAAGCGCGTGCAGTCGGCGGAGAAGCTGGGCGCCGCGCTGGGCGCCGACAAGAAGGGGGCGCTGCGCAAGCACAGCCTCGAGGTGGGCCACCCGGACTTCCGCAAGGATTTCCACGGCGAGCTGGCGCTGCACAGCCTGGCCGAGTCCGATGGGGAGACGCCCCCCGTGGTCGAGGGGCCCGGGGCGCCCCTGCAGGTGGCCGTGCGCCGCCTGGGCCGCCAGGAGTCGCCCCTCAGCCTGGGAGTGGACCCGCTGCTGCCCCAGGGCACCCCCAGGCCTCCGGGTAAAGAGGAGTCCCCCGGCAGTGGGGAGGCCTGCACCCAGCCCCGCGGGGCCACCCCCGGAGGCCGGACCCTGGAGCGGGACGCCGGCGGCACGCGGCACCAGAGCGTGCAGACCGTGCAGACCGAGGACGGCTTGGGTGGGGCGGCCAGGGCGGTGGCCAAGGCCGCGCTGAGCCCGGTGCAGGAACATGAGACGGGCCGGCGCAGCAGCTCCGGTGAGGTGGGCACGACCCTAGTGCCCATCGTGGTAGAGCCCGAGCGGCCTGGGGCCAAGGTCGAGGCGTCCCGGTCTTTGGGCTCGGACTCTAAGGGGCTGCAGGGATCCACACCCCCGGTGCCTCCCGCACCACAGGTCCTCCGAGGCCCTGAACGCCGGGGGCTGGAGAAGGTGGAGGAGCGGACCACGCCGAGCGGGCCTCGCTCCAAGCCCACCTCCCCTAAGCTCTCCCCAGAGGCCCAGCCCCCTTGTGCAGCCCCTACGAAAAACGCGACAGGGCCCCCAGCCCCACCCACTCCCCTCCTGCAGGCCACCAAGCCCGAGGTGGTGCTGACTTCCAGGTGCCCTGCTGAAGCCGTGCCTCCTTCAGGCCTGACCAAAAGGGCCCCCTGCCCCCCGCCCCCCGGCCCCTAGCGGAGGGGCCGCTGGCCCTGCACTGTACAGCCGCCTGTATACACATGTACACATATAAATAAAGCGTGTCCGTGCTGCGTGAGCTCTCTGAGGCTTCCCCACCTCCCTGGCAAGGCCAAGCTTTAGCCCTCTTGCCTGTGTTCTTGTTAAAGGGAGGAACTCTGGTCCTGGTTACTCTAGAGAGGGGAGGGGAGTCTTGTGTCTTTCCTTGTGGTCTCATCTCTGAAGAAAAAGTTAACAGCCCATCTACCACTTTCTTTTTATTCCTCATAACTTTTTTTTTTTAAAGGGTCAGTGTGTGTGTGTGTGTGTGTTTAATATATTTTATTGATTTTGTACAGAGAAGAAGGGAGAGAGATAGATAGAAACATCCATGAGAGTCATCCATCAGCTGCCTCTTGCACACCCCCTACTGGAGATATGCCGGAAACCAAAGTACATGCCCTTGATCAAAATCAAACCCAGGACCTTTCAGTCCCCAAGCCGACGCTCTATCCATTGAACCAAACTGGTTTCGGCCCTCATAACTTAAAAAAAAAAAAAAAATTATACTTTATTGATTTTTTTTTTTTTCAGAGAGGAAGGGAGAGGAATAGAGAGTTAGAAACATCGATGGATGAGAGAGAAGCATCGATCAGTTGCCTTCTGCACACCCCTATTGCTGATGTGCCCGCAACCAAGGCACATGCCCTTGACCTGAATAGAACCCAGGACCCTTCAGTCTGCAGGCCAATGCTCTGTCCTCTGAGCCACACCGGTTAGGGCTCCTCACAACTTCTGAGCCAAGTGCTCCCATTTTGCAGGTGAGTAGACTGAGTCACAGGTTAAGGCACACAGTGAAGGTCACACAATAAGGGGCTGCACTGGGGTTTAAGCTGACGTCCACGCTGGCTCCTACGTGCTCTGTGGGGCTTTCTGGAGTTCAGGTGCTGCTCTTCTCTCACAGGGTTGCCAGGCCTTCACCAGCGGCTGGAAGGCTTTCCAGAAGGCAGGCAGCTGGGTGCACAGCGTGCCCCCACCCCGGTGCTCCTCCCCACGGTTCCGATTCATGTCGCCCACACAGGCCCAGGGCCCTTCTGGGGCTACACACCACTTGGAGTGGTCCTCCATGGTTCTGAACGTGGGCCCGGCTGGTCCGGGGAAGGCTATCTGGGTCACATCCAGCACTTTCTGGGGCCCAGAGCAGTTGGAGGGCAGGATGCCAGGAGAGTGTTGCCAGAACTGGACCTGTAGGTTGCTTCCAAGAGCTTCTGCCAACCAGCCAGAGTATAGGTCTGCGGAGGATGGACGGAGGGCATGGACAGGGTCACTGCTAGGGGAATCCCTAGGCTACCGGCCCTCTCTGCGCTCAGTTTCCTCGGTTGTCAATTCCTGGCTCACAGCTCTCACTAAACACTATTCATTACTTCATCCACAACAACCCTTTACAGTAGATATTAGCACCCCCATTTTCCCAGACGGGTAAAATGAGAGTCCGGTTAAATAGTGTCCCCCCACAACCAGAAACCAATGGTTGCGCCCAGGCCTGTTGGTTGTGTACCTCTCACGTGTTTATGGCTCCCAAAGGGCCTGCCTGCAGCTTGCTCTTGCCCCGGGCACAGCTGACCCCACCCCACAACCCCAGGGGGCTCACCATCTCCAAATTTCCCAAATTTGGCAAAGCTCTGGAAGGTGGCCCCTGCCTTGGATGTGAGTGTCACGCTGCTGTTCCAGGGCCGGCTGAGAACATGGTGGCCCTTGGCCACCTCGGCCAGGCCAGGCAATTTCTCGAGGAAGACCCCTTCCAGCCGGTGGCAAAACACGTCGGGGAAGGTGTAGCTCAGCTGGGTGCCTGGAAGGCAAGGGGAAGAGAAAGTTAGGGACTGCCTGTTCCACATTCTGGTCTGGAAACCGGGCAACGCCCTGCTTCCTTGTCCCCACTCACCAATCTTTGAGAACTGGTCGAACGGAAAAGACACACAGAGGAGGGTCTGGCCATATCTGTGGGCCTGGGGAGGCCAGCGGTATGCATCGCGTGGAGGGAAGCCTGGGACGCTGTGGATCAGCCAGAAGCCCTCTTCTCTGTCCAGAAGCAGCACTCCTGAACCAAAAGACAGGGTCAGGGGGACTGCTCAAGGTCTCCCAACAAGCAAGGGTGCAGCCAGGAGCAGCCTCAGTCTGCAGGGAGCCCCGAGGGGGTATGGGCAGTCGCTGGAGCACTGCCGAACTCTCTCTGCAGCCCACTGCTGTTGTCACAGTCCAGAGAAAGACAGCATTTACCTGAGATACCCTGCCCCTGTGTCCTAAAGGAGCCCCCTCCCGCCCCTGCAGGGCAGGAGTTAGCTGGGGGGAAAGCGTAAGGAAGCCAGAGCCCTTCTCCAGCCCCGGATCCGGGCCTCACCCTTCGTGTGCCCCCGGCTGGAAGAGTCCTGAGTCCCGTTGGGATTAGGTGGCTGGTCATTGTAAAGTAGAAAGGCAAGCTGGGGGAGATGGATGGGCGACATGAAGTTTTCTTCCAGGCCGGGGATCCCCCAGAGTCCCACCTGGGTTCTGCCCGCACCCCGCCCCTTCACCTGGCTGGTGTTCTTGTACAGGGGCAGCAAGCTGCGGCCTACGGCTCCGTTGGGGTTGTCGATGGTCACCGTCCCGTCGCGCCAGCCCCCTGAGTCCGCATCCAAGTACTTATACCCGTTATTGGCCGGCAGCTTGTAGACAACGAACCTGGAGGTTGGGAAAAGGACAGAAACGGAGGAAGGGGCAGAGAGCAAGCCCCAGACTTCACCCAGTTGTTTTTTTTTTGTGTGTGTGTTGTTGTTTTTTTTTTTTGGGGGGGTGGCAGGGGAGGGCACGATCGGTGGAGCCCCGCACTCACCAGTCCACAGGCTGCCCCGAGTCCCCGTAGCAGGTCAGGGTGCCTGCTGGGACCCAGAGCAGCGCGCCCAGGAGCAGCAGGCTCAGAGCGGCCATGGGGCTGGAGCCGGGAAATCTGTGCTGGGACCCCAGGCGCCGGGTCACGAGTTGGACCAGGGCCGGTCCTTAGTGACTTTCATTTCCCCAAAACCCTCCCGAAAACCCAGGGCGGAACCTCCCGGGATGAAACCCCGCCCCTGAGCTGAGAAGCAGAGATTTGAAGGTTCAGGCCTCGATCCCTGGGGGCGGGGCTTCCCTTTGGGCGGTCACTCCGCTAAAATCCGGCCCTCATTCGTCCAGCCTACGGCCGCCTCCCATTTCCATTGGATGGACCCTTGATAGGCTCCGCCCTCGGTCGGCTCAGACCACGCCCTTTGATGGCCAAGTGGTTTCGCGCGTCCCGCCTCGGCTCTACTCCTGGCCAATCAGCGCTCACGTTCTTCCGCCAGGTCCCGCTTCAGTCTTTTTGATTCTAGTTTATCCCAATCCACTCTCCCGCCAGGCCCTCCTCCTCCCTCGGCTCACGGGTGAGACACAAATTTGTTTTTTTGTCCTTTCCAGCTTTCCAGCTTGAGGTCCAACTCTTGGGACTTTTACTCTCTTAAGGGGAGTCTGTGCCCTGCCCACATGGCTCAGTGGTTGAGCATCGACCTATATGAATCAGGCGGGCTCAGGTTCGATTCCCGATCAGGGCACATGTCCGGGTTGTGGGCTCAATCCCCAGTAGGGGGCGTGCAGGAGGCAACCGATTCACGGTTCTCTTTTATGGATGTTTCTATTTCTCCCTCTCCCTTCTCCGAAATCAATACTAAAAAATCAATAATAATAAGACTAGGATTTTATTTTATTTTAGAAGTATTTTTATTTTATTTTATTAATTTTTTAAAATTAATTTCAGAGAGGAAGGGAGAGGGATAGCGAGACAGAAACATCAATGAGAGAGAATCATTGATTGGCTGCCTCCCGCACACCCCCTACTGAAGGGGGGATTGAGCCCGCAACCCAGGCTTGTGCCCTCCTTGGCTGGAATTGAATATGGGACCCTTCAGTCCGCAGGCATAGGCCAACACTTTATATATATATATATATATATATATATATATATATATATATATATATAGTTGATTTTTTTACAGAGAGGAAGAGAGAGGGATAGAGAGCTAGAAACATTGATGAGAGAGAAACATCGACCAACCGCCTCCTGCACACCTCCCACCGGGGATGTGCCCGCAACCAAGGCACATGCCCTTGACCGGAATCGAACCCGGGACCCTCAGTCCGAAGGCCAACGCTCTATCCACTGAGCCAAACCGGCCTCGGCATAGGTGAACACTTTATCCACTGAGCCAAACCAGCTAGGGCTATATATATATATATATATATTTTTTTTTTTTAAATATATTTTATTGATTTTTTACAGAGAGGAAGGGAGAAGGATAAAAAGTTAGAAACATCGATGAGAGAGTAACATCGATCAGCTGCCTCCTGCACACCCCCTACTGGGGATGTGCCCGCAGCCAAGGTACATGCCCTTGACCAGAATCGAACCTGGGGCCTTTCAGTCTGCAGGCCGATGCTCTATCCACTGAGCCAAACCGGTTTTGGGAGGGCTATATATTTTTTAAAAGGGAAGTTTGTGCTCCTTGTGTTCTCCTCTTTCATCCTGCATATTTTCCTGAGCTAGCCAGGGGGTCAGTTTGGATCATGGCATGGTGAAGGGTGCTGTGACTCTGGGGCCGGACTGGGGCCTCTTAGAGGGAGATGGTCCCTGTAAATGCCTCTGGGTTCAAAGCAGGAGGCAAGGAGGATGTAGCCTGAACTTGGGGTGGGGGGAAAGGGGCGGCGAGGCCTGCAGGATCCCGTGCGGTATCGCTGAGGTTAGGAGATGAGTGTGAGAGTATGCCCCCCTAAATCACCGCTGGGGTTACAGCTTCCTCCCATCTTCCAGCTCCCAAAACGCACAAAAGCAGGCCACAGCGGAAGCTTTATCTGGGAGGAGCATTGGTACAGACCCATAACCATTCACAGCGGACGCCAGCCACACGCCGAGCTGGGCCGTTACAGTGGGAAGACCCCTTCTAGAGCCAGGGTCTCTGCGAAGCCTCACCCCAAACCTCTTCCCTTGTCCGAGGCCGCCTGTGAGCTGGTCTGAGGGCCCAGCTCTCCGAGGGTCGGTCTGTCTGTCTGTCTGTCTCAAGTGTCTGAGTGTCCATCTGAGCCCATGTATTTGGAAGTCTGTCTCGTTGGGTCTACGTGACCCTAGGAAGTCTCTGTGCGGCTCCTGAGGCTGAGGACACGTGGGAGCTTCCGCTGGAGGCTCCCCCAGGTCTGTCTATGGGCCAGTCTTTGTTCTTCCTGAGGATCTGTGGGGGGAGAGTCCCGGCAAGGGTCCATCCGCGGGAAACCGCCCTGTCCGCGCGGATCCGCTCCTGTTCCATCCCCGGTCCCCAGGAAGGTCCAAGTGCTGGGGATGGTGGTGGTGGAGGGGGAGGCTGGCTCAGAGGTGACGCTTCATGTGCAAGGCCAGGTGATCCGAGCGAGAAAAAGCCCGGGGGCAGAGCTGGCAGCGGAAGGGGCGCTGTCCCGTGTGCTTCCTGTAGTGGCGGGTCAGCTCGTCGGAGCGCGCGAACCGCCAGCCGCAGCCGTCCCACGTGCAGGCATATGGCTTCTCCCCTGGGAGGCGAGGAGAGGAGATCCTGAGTGCCATTGTCCGCCCAACCCCTCCCTCAGGCCCGCCACTGCGTCGGCCACCCTCCTTTGCTCAGCCTTGACCAGGACTGGGGCGAGGCCAGGGAGGCGCTCACTCTCAGGGGCCTGTGCCCAGGCCTGGCCTCTGCGACTGGACCCTTCTAGTTCAGTACTGGCACCTGGCGCCAAGTCTGTTTTCATTTCCTGGGCCCACGTCACATCCCCTACACCACTGGCCCATTCCCCGGTGTCCTAAAGTCATCCTACGGCCTGTCCTCTGTGGTTCAGGGGACCCTCCAGCTGCTGCCCAGCCCTGCCCCTGGCATTGACCCTTAGAATCCCCTGGTGTTCTGGGCCCTGTCTGTGGTGATTAGTTCCCTCTTTTCCCCCACACACCCTGCACCTGGCCCCACCATCTATGCGGACCCCAAAAGCAGCAGTTTCCAACCAGTGTGAAATACCTGACTATTTAGTCAGGGGCACGGACTTCTTTTCCCTTCGGTTGTTAAATAAAATGACAACAGCTAACAAAACAATAGTCACCGCTGAAACCGGTTTGGCCCAGTGGATAGAGTATTGGCCTGCGGACTGAAAGGTCCCAAGTTCGGTTCTGGTCAAGGGCATGTACCTTGGTTGCAGGCACATCCCCAGTAGGGGGTGTGCAAGAGGCAGCTGATCGATGATTCTCTCTCATCGATGTTTCTATCTCTCTATCCCTCTCTCTTTCTCTCTGTAAAAAGTCAATAAAATAAGGGAAAGAGGAACATTTGTAATAATCTGAACAATAAAGATTTATTTAAAAATAAAAAAATAAAAAAAGATTCCATAAAAAAGTCAATAAATATAAAGAAAGAAAGAAAGAAAAAATCCTGCTAATGAGATTCCCCTAAAAAAAAAAAGGTCACTCATTGTCTTGAACCATAAATATTTAGGTCATATAATAGAGTTGTATCTTATTGGTCAAGTCGCATAAGAAGGTTACATCTGATTGGTTAATTCTTGGCACCAGAAACCCTTATATGCAAGCATAGGCATCTGATTTTTTTTAAAAAAAAGTCACTTTGGAGCAAAAAGGGTAGGTAATTACTTTTTTTTTTTTTTTTTTTTTTTTTTTTTTTTTTTTTTTTTTGTAAAGCAGTCATTTTACCTATTTTTTTTTTCAGATCGGCAAAAAGTAGAATTTTTTTTTTTTTGGTGTGCCGCAGAATTTTAGTAATTAGCTTATGTGCCAGGAGATGAAAAAGTTTGAAAATCGCTGCCCTAAAGCATAGGTCTCCCTCTTTCTCCTCCAGATTTCTATTCTGCAGCGTAGCTTGGTCTTTGGCTCCTGGAACCCGCTCCTCTTGGGCCCACCTCCTCTGTTTTCCAGCTATTCCTCCTCATCTTCCTGGAACCACTCTGCCTCTGAGCACACAAATCTGACTCTGCCCTGTATCTCCCTCCCCTCCTGAGCTCCATGCAAACAAACTGCTATATATACTCCTGGCTCCGTCCCCCATCCCCTGACCCCGCTCCTCCCCGCTTGTCACAGACCTGAACCCAGCGTCCTTGGCCCGGTCCCTGGCTGGCCACACATGGCCCCTCCCCTCAGCCCCTCCTCCAGCCCCGCCCTCCACTCCACTTGCTAGGCTTTCTGCTCCTCAGCCAGGGCCCAGATCCTTTTTTTAAAAAATATATTTTTATTGATTTTTTACAGAGAGGAAGGGAGAGAGAGATAGAGAGCTAGAAACGCTGATGAGAGAGAAACACCCACCAGCTGCCTCTTGCACACCCCCTACCGGGGATGTGCCCGCAACCAACGTACATGCCCTTGACCAGAATCGAACCTGGGACCTTTCAGTCCGCAGACCCAAACCGGTTTCGGCAGATCCTTTTTTTTTTTTTTTTAGTATATTTTTATGGATCTCAGAGAGAAAGGGAGAAAGATAGAAACATCAACGATGAGAGAGAATCATTGATTGGCTGCCTCCTGCACGCCCCCCCCCCCCCCCGCACCTCTAACTGGGGCTTGAGCCCGCCACCCGGGCATGTGTCCTTGACGGGAATTGAACCCAAGATCCTTCAGTCCGCAGGCCGCGATGCTCTATCCGCTGAGCCAACCCGGCCAGGGCCTGGGCCCAGATCTTACCCGTCAGTTCCCTGAAACGTTGCTCAGATGTTCTAGGTCCTCTCTCTGCCCCCACCCGCCTCCCACACCCGGTACCTGTCCCCTGGCCCTGCGTCTGAGGGTCCAGTCCGCTTCCAGCTGCCTCGGGCCTGTTCCTGCCCTGAGACCCCCTTAGCCCCCCTGTCATAACGGTTCCTCTCCCGCCCCCTGCGCCGGGCCTCTGGCCCCTTCCCTTTCTCCTCGCCTCCCGGCCACGCTGCTCCCCCCCGGGGTCCGCCCCCAGCCCAGCCGGGTCGAGGGGAGCCTCACCGGTGTGGGTCCGGAGGTGCGCCTTGAGGTGCGAGCTCTTGGTGTAGCTCTTGCCGCAGCCCGGGTACGAGCACGTGTGCGCCGCCTGCCGCTTGCGCGCCCAGGAGCGCCGGCTGCGCTTGATGGGCACGGCGCCCGCGGGCCCCCTCGGGTCCCCGGCGGCGCCCCCGGGCCCCGCCCCCGCGGTCCCGGGTCCCAGGCCATTCAGGAAGGAGGGGGGCGCGGCGGAGCCGGGGGCGGGCGCCGGGAGCCCGCGGAAGAGCTGGAAGTGCCCCTGGTACTGCGGCGCCGGGTACAAGGCCGGGTACCCCGACAGCAGCCCGTAGGGGGCGCCGGGCGCCGCGGGCACCGACACCCCGGTCCGCGGGAAATAGCTGCCGGGGGAGCCCGCCGCCGGGCCCGGGTACACCGGCTGCAGCGGCAGCGCCTTGGGCTCGGGAGCCGGGACCAGCGCGAGGCTCACGAAGGCGTCGGGGGCTGGAGCCTGCGGGGCCGGGCGCGCCCAGCCCGGGGGCTCCTCGGGCCCCAGGAGCCCCGCCACCAGCCCCAGGCCGCCCGCGTACGCCTCTGGGGTCTCGGGCTGCGGCGGGAACGGGGCTCCGGGGCCTTCCCCCGGCGCCAGGGCGCAGGGCTGAGGCGCGCCTCCGGGCTCCGCGCCCGACAGGTTGGTGAAGAAGAGATCCAGGTCCCAGGCCGTGGCCGGATCCCTGTCGTCGTCGTCTTCTTTCTCCACGGGCGCGTACTCCAACTTGGGCCTCACATGGAGCGGCCGAGCCTGTTCCGGGGGACCCGGACCCAAGTCCTGCACGTCCTCAAAGCGCCACCACTGCGGAAGGGAGCCCATGGCATGAGGCTGCTGCGGCCACCAGGGCACCCTCCCCGCCGGGTGGCTGATGGGGCAGGCTGGCTGAGCTCCTGAGGGGGTCTTGCTTGCTTGTCTGTATTGTCTGTCCCACTGCCTCACACTGTCCCCGTCCCCCCTCCAGCTTCAGGGACAGAGGTCGATAGGGTCTGGCTGGCGACTGGAGATAAGACTTACATTATCTGGAGTTGCACTTAGGCATGGGGGAAGGGGTGGCAGAGCCAAGAATGGGAGGGGGGCAGCCTTGCCTCAATTTCCCGCCCCCCCAATCTCCCACTCCTGTCCAGTCCCCCTGTACCATAAATTCCCAAGATTAACTCTTGGGTGTCTCCTGGACACCTTTGTTCTTTCCTCCTGATCCCTGGTGTCTCCAGGAGCCTAGACCACCACGGTGTTCAGCTTTGAGCCTTCGTTTTCCAAGACAGAAACAGGCCCTTAGACCACATTCAGATCCCTGGACCGGACGGAGCACCCCCAGCCCTGGCCGGGTCTCTGGATGCCAGGGCTAGATGCAGACCTGCTCCCCACACTCTGTGACTGCAGACCCGGACCCCAGCCAGCCACCTGGACCCTGCCTGGCCTCACCTTGAAGTCTTCCTGTGTGTCTGGAAAGGGGCCTAGGGCAGTCAGCGCACTGATGGAAGGCAAGGTGGTGTCAGCCGTGGCCATGGCTGACGGGCGCCCACCCAAGGGCCTCAGGTCTCCTCTCCCTTTGTGGCCTCGTGGGCTCTGAGGCTCTGATGGCCCCTTGGAAGGCTCCTCTCTGCTCTCAGCTGATTGGCTACAACCCCTGATAAGGGTCAGGCAAGGCAGGGGGGTGTCACCATTTCTGGGGAACAGACCTTGCCTTGGCCTGTTTGGCACGGAGCCTTTTAAAGACTGACCCTGCGTCCAAAGCTCAGTCAGGGGCTAGGGGTCCAGAGGTCTGGGGGTTCAGGTGTTACAGAAAGTGAGGTACTACTGGCTCCCCCCCACCCCCCAAAAAAGGAAAGACTTGGAGGCCTCTCATTTACCTACTTGGAGAGGGGGTGACAGGTGGAATGGGGATTCTGGGAAGGGGCTTCCAGGTCCCCCTCTCCCTCAACTAGGGCCCTGCAAGCCCCTTCCTTTGCCCTCCCCCAAAACAGAAACAGCCGTGCTGATGGCGGGACTTGGCACCAGCTCCCTGCCAAGCCAGGCATTATCAGGCGCCCCAGACGGTGGAGGCTGCTATCAGGTGGGGGCCCAGAACAGCCAAAGCTCTGTCCCTGGTGGGTGGCAGGGCTGGAAGCTGGGGCTTCACATTAGCTTGCCTTGAACTTGCCTGGGTTGTGAACCTTCAGGGTCTGAGCCCAGTGGCAGGAGGGGCCCCTGCTAATCAGCCCCCACTGCCTACCACGGACTCCCAGGGAGCACTGCGGGGGGTGGGGCTGTGTGGAGGTTGAAGCTGGTGCCACTGCAGCTGGGTCTGGGGAGAAGTCAGCCACCTCCCTGGATGGGATGAAAGCATTGGATTGGACCACAGGAAGCACCTGACTTGTGGAGACCAATTCCAGCACTTGCCCTGGTCCTGCTACTGCCTGATTTCTGTCCCACATGGGGGCACGATCCATGGGGGCACAATTCAGGACCTGCACTGTGGTGCCCTGGGATCCCGGGGTCGGCAATGTGAACACACATCACAGACATACAGTTCACACATACATTTACATATGTGACACATGTAATATGCAATTACATATTGACACACATTCCTGGTCACCTCAGCCACACTGACCATGTAGACCCTGCCATGTACTTGTCTGTGCAGCACATAAACCATGTGGTCAGGAAGATACAACATGTAACTAAACATGTGCTGTTTAGTTACACAATGGTGTAGTCACATAATCCCTCAGACATAGAATTCATAATCACACAGAATTACCCGATCACATACAATCATATAATTATAGTGGAGTGGTTTAGCTACAACTAAACAGACACAAGGGCATTCTTGGATATGTTGTCACAAACCTACAGAAGACGCCAAAATTGGTTTGGCTCAGCGGATAGAGCATCAGCCTGCGGACTGAGGGTCCTGGGTTCAATTCCAGTCAAGGGTATGTACCTTGGTTGTGGGCACATCCCCAGTAGGGGGCGTGCAAGAGGCAGCTGATTGATGACTCTCATCGATGTTTCTATCTCTCTCCCTTCCTCTTTGTAAAAAATCAATAAAATATATTTCAAAACAAAACAAAACTATAGACGTAGTCACACAATTCTGTCAAACACAGATGCAACCTCAGGCACAAAGGTATATAACCCAGTAGCTTACAACGCTTTACAAACACACAATGATGCAGTTATACACACAGCTAACATTAGACACAGACACACACAGTACCATACAAAATCTACAATCTCTTACAGTCATGCCACCTACTACTGGTCACCCAATTGTACAGATACCAATGCCCAGCCATAGGGGCACACTCATTCAAACGCAGGCAACTACACCAACATGGAATTAAACACCCTAATGGGGAAAGACACACGACCTTGCCTAGACACACGACCTTGCCTAGACATAGACACCACACAGACACACAGAGTTGCATCACACAAGAAGACAAAAAAATTATCATGTGCTAATATATTTTTTTTTGGTGAGGGCAAAAACTAATGTAAAAAACAGTTCTTCACACTAACTAGAATGGCTATAAGAAGAAGAAAAGGAATATACCAATTTTTAGCAATGGTGTGGAGAATTGGAGTCCCAGTACCCTGCTGGTTGGAATATTAAACGGTGCAACTACTGTGGAAAGCAGTTTGATGGTTCTTCAAAAAGTTAAACTTAGTGTTACCATATGAACCAGCAATTCCGCTCTTAGGTATACCCCCAAGAACTAAAAACAGGGACTCAAACACAACAGCATTATTCACAATCGCCAAAAGGTGGAAACAACCCAAATGTCCATTATCAAATGAGTGCGTAAACAAAATGTGGCCCATTCATACAATGGGATATTATTCAGCCATGAAAGGGTTGAATTTATAACACGTTACAATGTGGATGAACCCCGAAGACAAATGGAAGAAGCGAGTCACAAAAAGCTACCTATTGTTATATGAAATATCCAGAATAGGCAAACCTGTAGAGACAGAGATAGGCAAACCTGTAGAGACAGGATTTAGAGGGAGGAGGGAACGGGAAGTGGCTGCTAATGGGTACAAGGTTTCCTTTTGGGGAATGGAAATGTTCTGGAACTAGATAGAGGTAGTGGTTGTCCAACATTGTGAATGTACTAGATGCCACTGAGTTGTATAATACACCTTATTTATTTTAATATATTTTTATTGATTTCAGAGAGGGAGAGACAGAAACATCAATTATGAGAAATACTGATTGGCTGCCTCCTGCATTCCCTCTTCTGGAGATTGAGCCCACAACCCGGGGCCATGTGCCCTTGACCAGAATTGAACCTGGTATTCTTCAGTCCTCAAGCTGATGGTCTACCCAAACCAGTGCGGGCTTGGACACGTTAAATGGCTAATTTTATGTGACTTTTACTTAAAACAAAATGGCTGGAGTTAGAGTGGTTTTATGAAGAGAAACACCATCTCTTAAAAAAATTTTTTAAAAAAAAAAATTTCTTAGAGGAAGTGAGGGAGAAACATCCTCTTCTGGGGAATTGAAACTGAAACCCCGATCATGTGCCCTGACCACAGAATCACACTGTGACCTGATTCATAGATTGACATTCAACCATTGAGCCACACTGGCTGGGAAAAACAGAGTCTCTCTCTCTCTCTCTCTCTCTCTCTCTCTCTCTCTCTCTCTCTCTCTCTCTTTTAAAATATATTTTATTGATTTTTTTACAGTGAGGAAGGGAGATACAGAGTTAGAAACATCGATGAGAGAGAGTCATCGATCAGCTGCCTCTTGCACACCCCCTACTGGCATCTCTTTTAAGGAGAGATCTTGGTTTAGGACAAAGCACTAAACAGGCATGCTGGCTCTGAAAGATGAGGGTCCAGAGGAAAAGAGGCCTTTGGCTGGGAGATAAGGCTTCTGGGATGATGTGGTCTGTAGGAATCCTGGACTTTGAAGGATAGGAAGCCCTGAGCCTTGATTTTGGTTTCCCCCCGGGCATAGAGAACTCCAGCACCCACAACAGGGAGCTTTGGAAGAAAGGAAGTAGAAAGAGAGAGGTCACTGGCTGCAGGAGGGGGAGGGATATCCAGAAAAATAAGAGCTATGCAGAATCCCAGATATTTCAGGGTGGTGTTGGATTGTCTATTGTGGGAGGAAGAAAATTCAAATAATTTTATTTAAAAAATATATTTTACTGATTTTTTACAGAGAGGAAGGGAAAAGGATAGAGAGCTAGAAACATTGATGAGAGAGAAACATTGACCAGAGGCCTCCTCACACCCCCTACCAGGGATGTGCTTGCAATCAAGGCGCATGCCCTTGACCAAAATTGAACCTGGGACCTTTCAGTCTGCAAGCTGACGCTTTATCCACTGAGCCATACCGGTTTGGGCTTCTTTTTATATTAAGGAAAATACGGCCCAGAATGTGAGAGAATCCAGGGACACCAGATATCAGGCACTTGGGGACTTGCAAGCCAGAGATCATACTCAGACACAATCCCACAGTCACTCCCATCACACCCAGTCACAGTGTGTGAGGCAGAGCATGCTACACACTACACTTCCCAGAGTAACTGCTGGGAGGAAGTGTTCCTGGGTGGGCAAAGGCCTGTTCTGGGAATTGGGAGGCCTGGATCCCAGTCCCGGTCCCTGCTCTGCATTGTGACCTTGACCAAGTCTATTTTGCAATCTGGACCTTATTTTTCCTAAATGCAATGGGCAGGATATGGTAGATGTATGTCTTTCATATATAGGTATGTTCAAGCACCCAGACATATGCAAACTGCATAAATGCTCTTTTTTTAAAATGTATTTTTTATTGGTTTCAGAGAATACAGAAGAGGGAGAGAGAGAAACATCCACGATGAAAGAGAATCATTGATTGGTTGTTCCCTGCACGTCCCTTCCCGGAAATCGAGCCGACAATCCAGGCGTGTGCCATGACCGTGAATCGAACCAGTGACCTGGATCATAGGTCAACGCTACACCAGTTGTGCCACAAATGTTTTAAAAAGTGACCTACGTAAGTAAAGCCACTCATTCAGGCATATGTCACAGTCAGGCACATAGCACACGATTGCACATAGACACTGACACATATATAGATATACACAATCACAGACATACTAGTAAACACAAATACAAGCTTCTAATTACACAGACAAGAAGCTACAAAGACATTCAGCCACACTTAGGACACAGTCACAGGCAGTAATACAACCGCTCATGGTCAACAGTCACAGGCATAGTTAGTCCACCCACATACAGACACACAGCCACTCAAGCACACTAACACACACGGACGCGCCGAATCAGCGCACAGAGAGCCACACACAGTCACCTGCGGCTGCTGCTGCTTCCAGGATAGACTAGCAGACAGGCTGGGCTGAGAAGGCCCATCAGAGCCCACCCCCTGCTCACAAACACCGCACCCCGTGAGAGGAGTCTTCGAGGTCTGGACTTAGTTTTCTTCTGCCTCAGTTTCCCTGTTTAACTCCTAAATCGCTTCGCACACGCCTCCCGCAACTGACCAACCGAGAGGGGGCCGAGCCCCCTCCTGGGGCCAATTAGAGCCGGAATACAGGTGGCCAATCGGATTGGCAGACTGTGTGTGTGTGTGTGTGTGTGTGTGTGTGTGTCCTCCCTCCATTCTCTCCTTTTCTCTCTCTTTCCCTCCCTTCTCTCTCCCCTCTCCCCCCTCTATTCCCCCCCCTCTCCCCCTCTTTTCCTGTTTGGCTCCTAAAGGAGCTCCCGTTCCTCTGTCTGGGCACCTGCTTCCTGGGACAAGCGTGCCGTGGCTCTTTAAGAAGCAGGCCCGTGGAGGAGCCGGTCCCGGGACCAACCAATGAGCAGCCCCGCTCGTCCTCCGCCCCTCCCACCCCGCCCCCCGCCGGAGGTCAAAAGCCTCCGCCAGTTGCTCCTTGGCCCGAGAGGGGAGCTGGAAGGCGCTTCCCGGGGGCTGGCGAGAGGGGCGAGGGGCGCCAGGGCCCGGCCTGCGGTGGGAGCACCCCGCTCTGACCTCGCGCTCTCCCGGTCGCCGTGTCGCTGCGCCCGCCGCCCGCATGGCCCTGAGAGGCGTCTCCGCGCGGCTGCTGCGCCGCGGGCCCCTCCTGCGCGGGCTGCGCGGGTGGGGCTCGGCCGCGGCGCTGACCGGTCAGTGCGGGGGAGCGGGTGGAGTGGGGGGTGGAACTGGAGACTCCAAGAGTTTTCCGGGGTGATTTCTCGTCCTGTGTTTTCAGAGAAGGGCGAGAAGACTCGGACCCGACCGGACAAATGTAAGGACCCCTCGTCGCGCGTGCGTCCGAGGCCCTTGTCCTCCCGTCTGCCTGCCCCTCTGCCCCAGAGTCCGGGGGCTGCCGGGCAGGGAGACAGGGCCGTGGCTAGGGCCGGAGGCACTGAGTCAACAGTGAGTTTCCGGGAGAAAGGCCCCCTTGCCAGTCCTGTCTGCAGCCCACATTCAACCTCCAGCCAGATGGGGGTGGAGGGTTCTGGGAGAGGCGGCACGGTAGGCTGAAGTTGTGGGTGAGCTGAGTTGAGCCTGTTCCCTGTCCCAGCCTTGCGTCCTGTGTTTGACTGGAGAGACCCGCTGGTGCTGGAGGAGCAGCTGACAGCTGATGAGATTCTCATCCGGGACACTTTTCGTACCTACTGCCAGGAGCGTCTGATGCCCCGCATTCTGCTGGCCAATCGCAACGAAGGTGCCAGGCGGGCTAGGGGGCACCCTGTCCACCATACTCACCACCTCTGCCTACTCTAGGCTTCTGGGCACCTCTGTCCCTGGAGTGGGGTCTCCAGTGGGCCAGTGGTAGGCCTAAACTTGGTCATCTGTTCATTTGCAGTTTTTCACCGGGAGATCATCTCAGAGATGGGGGAGCTTGGTGTGCTGGGCCCCACTATCAAAGGTAGGGATAAGTTTCTCTCCACACTCAGCAGCCCCAACTGTGTGCTGGAAAGCCCCTTACTTTCCCTGAGCCTGTTTCCCAGTCTGCAAAGTGAGGCTGTCCAACTGGGGGGATGAAATGAATAAACCCTCAAGCTAGGACCAGCTTAGTGCTCCCTTCTTGGGTGCCCCTGTATATAAGTCTATTGGGCCTCAGGAGTTACTGGTCCCAGTTGGCAGGCTTTGTCCCCCATTGCCCTGTCTCCTCTCCCCACGCCCCCATCAGGGTTTGGCTGTGCTGGAGCCTCATCTGTGGCGTATGGGCTCCTGGCCCGAGAACTGGAGCGGGTGGATAGTGGCTACAGGTCGGCAATGAGTGTCCAGTCCTCCCTTGTCATGCACCCCATCTACGCATATGGCAGCAAAGAGCAGCAGCAGAAGTACCTGCCCCGGCTGGGTGAGTGGCTTCCTGTGGAGTCTGGTGGAAGACAGCCCCGTGGTCTGGAACTCAGGGATGGGGCTGTCCCCTGAGCCTACCTTCTGTTCCCACTGCAAGGAGAGCACCAATGGCCACCTGGGCCCTCTGTTAGAGCCTGGGCTTCATCCCATCTAATCCTGACCATCCCCTCCTAGGTCTCTCTTGACTCGGGCCCCTGCTCACAACCATCATCTCCCAATCTCCCTCTTGATTTGCTTTGTTTTCCCCATCCCAGCCCAAATTTTAAAGTCTTAACTTCCTGACTGGGTCCAAGAGGCCTCTGGTGGTCTCACCTGTGGTCACTCTCTTGATGCGCTACCCTAGTCAGATTGTCACTTGGAACTAAATGTACCACTGGGCCTTTGCACATCCTTTCCCCACATCCAGGACTGCTTTCTCCATACCTTCTCCTGTTTAGCTTTCATGGCCCTTCAAGATAATTTAGGTGACTCCTGTAGGCCCCCATCATGGCATTTTGACTATGGCAGGGGGAGAAGGCCTGTCCCTTTACCATCTGGAAGTGCTATGAAGGCAGGGCCAGATCTGCCATAGCCTGGCTCACACTTTTCAGTTGAGGGTGTAAATGAGGGACACCTTGTCTCATACCTACAGCCAAAGGGGAGCTCTTGGGCTGTTTCGGGCTCACGGAACCCAATCACGGGAGTGACCCTGGCAGCATGGAGACCAGAGCACGCCACAACCCGTCCAGCAGGAGCTACACCCTCAATGGGGCCAAGACGTGGTGAGGAGCCTGGATACCTCAGGTGGGTAGGCAGAGGCAGAGGGGTGCAGCCAGATCCTCACTGTCTGTCCCACCCCCCAGGATCACCAACTCGCCTGTGGCCGACCTGTTTGTAGTGTGGGCTAAGTGCGAAGATAATTGCATTCGTGGCTTCCTGCTGGAGAAGGGGATGCAGGGCCTCTCGGCCCCCAAGATCGAGGGCAAGTTCTCCCTGCGGGCCTCAGCCACGGGTATGATTATCATGGACGATGTGGAGGTACCAGAGGAGAACGTGCTGCCCAATGCCTCCGGGCTGGCGGTGAGCAGAAGCCACTTGGGAACTGGTGTTGGGTCACATGGTGATTCACCTTTCTTGGGCAGGCCCTGTGCTGGGAACCCAGCTGGGACCAGACAGACATGGTCCCTGTGTACTGTCTCTGGTGACTAACTCGCTCATACTGGCTCTGCCCACAACACATTGGACCGGAATCAACTTAATTTTTTGATGCATGCACATCTTCCTGTCTCCTTATGTCAGCTCCTATATCTGAGCAGCCAATCCAGATCCTGGGCTGGGTAAAGCTGTGTGAAAATCAAGAATGAGTAGGCATGCTCTAACCGGTTTGGCTCAGTGTATAGAGTGTTGGCCTGCGGACTGAAAGGTCTCAGATTCGATTCCAGTCAAGGGCATGTACTTGGTTGCAGGCACATCCCGCTAGCTGATGTTTCTCTCTATTCTTCTCCCTTCCTCTCTAAAAGATCAATAAAAAAATATATATATATTTTTAAAAAGAATGAGTAGGCACTGAGCAAGGCCTGCCATGCATGAGCTTTGATGCCAGGGCTGCATGTGATTTAAGTGGCCTCTTCTAAATCCCCCTATTTATACTGACTATGTATCTGGGGGTCTGAAGAGAGAGTGTCCCCTCTTCAGAGTTGGTTCTGCACACACCCTCTCAGCTCTTTCCTGGTGGAGAAAAGGTCCCCTCTCAATCCTATAGGGTCCCTTCGGCTGCCTAAACAATGCCCGGTATGGTATTGCCTGGGGTTCACTTGGAGCTGCTGAGTTCTGTTTGCACACAGCCCGGCAGTACACCCTGGACAGGTGAGTGGGAGCTGACTGGAGAGCTTCAGGTTTCATCCTTTACCCCGCTGGTGACGCCACAGCCCCAGCACACCAGCCCCTGCTCTGTGAAATAGCCAGGGAAGTCCCTGTGAGCAGTGGTGGGTTGAGTCAGTGATGGCCAGGACAAGCTAGGCAGGGACTGAGGCAGCCTGGGAAGGGTACCTGGGCCAGTGGAGCACTGGGAGAGGACTGGAGAGTGGGTCCCCTTTAACTTACCCTGACCTTGCCTTCCTAGGATACAGTTTGGTGTCCCACTGGCCAGGAATCAGCTGATTCAGAAGAAGCTGGCAGACATGCTCACCGAGATCACACTGGGCCTTCATGCCTGCCTGCAACTTGGCCGCTTGAAGGATCAAGACAAGTAAGGCCACTTGTAGTGGGAGGCAGAGTGGACCCTGTGCTTCTCCTGGGCATGGTGGTTGCTGATCCCAAGAAGAAAAGTCCTACCTGGAGGCCCTTGAGTCCTGATCCCTTTTCTCTTGGCCTTGATGGTCCAGAGTCCACCCTTCTTGTCCCTCAAGGGGAGCCTGGTGTCTGCTGCTTTGACTGTAACATGGGGAATCCTCCGCCTGGCTGGTTTGTCTAGGGTGTAGGGGTGCCTGGAGCAGGATCAGCTCTTTGTAATCAACACTTGTTACATGTCTGTGCTGCTTCCAGGGCCACTCCGGAAATGGTCTCCCTGCTGAAGAGGAATAACTGTGGGAAGGCCCTGGACATCGCCCGCCAGGCCCGAGACATGCTGGGGGGAAATGGGATTTCTGATGAGTACCATGTGATCCGGCATGCCATGAACCTGGAGGCTGTGAACACCTATGAAGGTGGGGCTGGGTGCTTCAGGGGATGGGACAGTTGCAGTGGCCTCACTATCTGGGGAAGAGGGGCAGGGACAGCAGACCTGAGTCCTATTCCCAGCTGTCACCACTGGCAGCATAACATGAGGTAGCTTCCACCCTATACCCCTCATCTGAGTGGCTCACATTGGGACCTAGGATGGGAGGTGCTCTCTGACCTGTCCTTCATGATGCTTGGAGGTGTTTCCAGGAGTGCTGATGGCTCTCTCAGGCAGCCCCAGAGAGCGGTGTGATGCCCAGTGAGCTGGTGATGCAAAGAATACACACAGGCCATTCCATGTTAAGAGAGAAAGAGAACCATTTGCACTGTGTTTGCAGCTGGCAACTGGGTGTGATGCATTGCCTAGAACCCATTGCCTCATGGGAAAACGTTAAAAAAAAAAGTGGGACTGAGTTCTTGAAAGTGTAGGAGCTTCCTAGGCAGAGACGGTGAAATAGCTTGTGTGTGCTTTTCTGGATGGGACATTCCACAGACTAAAAGAGGGAGGGGTGGGGGATCCTACAGGTGGGAATGACCCTTAGGGTAAGAAAGGTCTTCAGATGATTTTATGAAGGGGAAGGGAAGGGTCAGGTGTGCACTTTAGAAAGTAAATAATTATTTTGCTCTATATAAGGGAGACAATAATCTTTGCCTTCTGACCCTGGAAGCTGAAGAGCAAATGGGAGCACTGAGGCATGTAAAGTGTTACCCAAACTCAAGGATAGGTGGCAGCCTCAGGACAGAGTAGCTCAGCTGGGCAAACCATTATATGATGTTTGCTTTCACATCCCTCCTGTGGATGAGAAAGGGCCTGATGTGCTTCCAGAACCCATTAGAGCTCTCCACCTCCATGGGAAGGAAGCATGGTTGGGTTGAAAATCAAATGTTTAATGAACTATGCAGGGCTGGGGTGAGGTAAATTTGCCACATGTTGGGGACACCAAATCTGGGCCCATAATGGTGGCTGGACTCCCTGCCTTTGAGGCTGGCACAAGCTTTTTGTTTTGTTTTTGCCAAGATGCATTATAGAACTGTTATAGAAAAACAATTTTCTCAGGGTGGCCTCTGAACTTTCTCTTGGTGGCTGTCACTCTCAGACTCTGTCAGCATTCGCCATCTTTGTGGGTTTGCTCTTCTTCCAAAGAAGTAGCCTGAGGAGGGGAAATGAAGATTGACTTTAAAGGGGAGTTGTAAGCTGTTAAGACACCAAACTGACTTTGTATTTTTCTTGTCCAGGTACTCATGACATTCACGCTTTGATTCTCGGAAGGGCAATAACAGGGATCCAGGCATTCACAGCCGGCAAGTGAATCCACTTCGCCCAGGAGCCTGGATGGTACCGAACCCTTCCCGGGGAGCCGCTGTGCTCTGAGCTTACTCAGGGAGGTGGCAGAGGGAGCCAATTTTTATGCTGGGAGGTGAGAGACACTGATTTTTAAATTACAAAATTTCCCTTTTGAAGTCACTCATATGTGCTCCTTATAAAGAAGACGGACTCTGTACCAAGTTTCTCAACCCAGTGGACCCCACTTAGCTTGGAACAGAAGCTTCTCTTGACAGGAAGCAGGGAAAAGAGAGTGACACAGAAGCAACCTCTATGAGACCTGACCTGGTATCTGACTGAGCAACCACCCTCACTTTGCGTTCCCTGTGTACCCTCTAACCCCCCCCCCCCAATCTGGGGGATAAGTGCCTTATGCTGACATTGGGGCAAAATGTGGGGGAGAGAATAATAGTCTGGGAGGGGGGCAATAGGATTGAAAATTGGGGACATCTGTAATACTATAAAAAAAAGTCTGCATGTCTGATCCTCTGTGTTGGGTCACATTTACTTGTAACCACTACTTGGTTCAGTCACAAGGAAATGAACATGAGTGGGGGCTGGGAGGTTCTCATGTGGTGGGAATTTCCTTGCCCCCCACAGTGATCTGGCCCTTGTCTGCATCTTGGCCTCTGCGGTAATAAGTAAACCTGGTTAGGCACTGCTCAGGTCTGTGGGTGGAGGGGACTTTGTCCTTTCTGTCACCACAGAGCTGGCCACACAGGAGTGAGAAATAACAGGGGCCTGGCTTCTCAGCTCCAACACACCATGTTTACAAGAGAGTATGGTGCCACAAGCGAGATGGCAGGAGCACCCGTTTCTGTTGACTTTCATCTTAGCCCCTACGACTCTTCTCAGGCAGAGCCTCCTGGAGTGGTTTAGTCATACCTCTGGCTGGACACACAGGTCTTGGAAGTCTTTGTACACGGTCTCCACAGTGTGGCACACTTGTTTGAGCTCTGTTTCCAAATGGCTGATCTTTGCCATTTTCTGGGTGAACTCTTGGAGCTTTTCCTGAATGATCTTGTTGTGGTGATTATAAATTAGATACAGCCTCTCCTCTAACTTCTCTGTCAGATCTGAAATCTTTTAAACAATATGACATGTTTTTGAAAAAATCAAACCAGAGGCATCACAAGACATGTGTTTTAAGTGGCTCCCTAAGATTTCTGCAGTTTAATCATTAAAAATGGTAAAAAAAAAAAAAAAAAAAAAAAAAAAAAAAAAAAAAAAAAAAAGAAAGAAAGAAAGAAAGAAAGAAAGAAAGAAAGAAAGAAAGAAAGAAAGAAAGAAAGAAAAAGCAAGCAAGCAAGCCAGCCTGTGAGGCTCTGTGGTTGAGCATCTACCTATGAACCAAGAGGTTGCCGGTTCAATTCCAGTCAGGGCACATGCCCTAGTTGCAGGCTCAATCAATGATGTTTCTCTTTCATCAGTGTTTTTTTTTTTTTTAAATATATTTTTAATTGACTTTAGAGAGGAAGGGAGAAGGAAAGATAGAAACATCAATGATGAGAGAATCATCGATCAGCTGCCTCCTGCATGCCCCCTACTGGAGACTGAGCCCATAGCATGGGCATATGCCCTTGACCAGAACTGAGCCCAGAACTCTTCAGTCCGCAGGCTGACACACTAACCATTGAGCAAAACCAGCTAGGGCCAATGTTTCTATTTATCCCTCTCCCTTTCTCTCTAAAATCAATAAAAATAATGGGAGTGGGGGGGCAATAGTAAGATATGTACACATATAATACCTTAATAAAAAAATGAAAAACATAGTTTTTAAAAATGAAAAAAAAAAAACACAACTCCAGTAAGTAGGAGTGAAAATTGCCTATATTAAGAAAAAAAATTTTTAAAGCAAGATTTCAAAGTGATATATACAGTATAGGCTCCACCAGGTTAAAAATAAGTACATAACAGAGACTAGAAAAAAATATGCAACAAAATAGTCACTGGGTGGTAGGATCATAGGAATGTTTTTATTTTTTTTTCTGCTATGTTATGCTTTATTTAATTTACTCTGTGTACTGGTAGGGATGGGAGGAAGCAATCAAAGGTGGAGAAAAGTCAGCCTGTTGTCAAGAAATGTCCTACTCCTGAGATCCCTTGTGCATTTTGAAGAAGCATCAGGGATAATCATTAACACAGTACTTGAACATAACAGGCATTGTTAGACATAAGCCCTGTCATGTTGAGGGATCTCTACTCTGCCATCACAAGCTTTACTTCTGGGGGGAAACAGCTGTGTTAACACAGGTATGCCTCAGTCCTCTACGCCCAATAGCCATTAGTCCTGGTATGTAATAAGGTGGCTGGGCTGTGGGTGCAGCTAGACCTCGGTCTCTCATTCTGAAAAATTATTTCTAATCCTTACTTTTCCCATCTATAAAATGGGTCCATTCTTTGCAGGGCTGATGGTAAAATGGGGTACCAAATGCAAATTGCCTGGCACCTTGCTGAGAATATAACAGATGCTCAGCCCTATCCTTCATCTTTTATATAAGGGCTTTCCCTGCCCACCCCCACACTGGGGTTTTGCAGTGTGTGTGTGTGTGTGAAAATTTTGTCACCTTGATCTTTTTTTTTTTTTACAGAGAGGAAGGGAGAGGGATAGAGAGTTAGAAACATCGATGAGAGATAAACATCGATCAGATGCCTTCTGCATACCCCCCACTGGGGATGTGCCTGCAATCAAGGTACATGTTCTTGACCGGAGTCGAACCCGGAACCTTTCAGTCCGTAGGCTGACGCTCTTTCCACTGAGCCAAACGGTTTCGGCCTACCTTGATCTTGAGGCTGTCCCTGAAGTTGGTCATGAGCACATGGTCCTTCTGCCTGCTCTCATTGATGCTTTCGATCAGCTCCTGGGCCCTTTTCTTCAGGATCTCAATGCTCGAGTCCAGAGAAGAAAAGTAGGGTCCTGACTTCCCTTCCAGCATCATCAGCTGGTGATTGGCACTGGAGGTGGCGATAGAAGGGCTAGAAACCTGACTTCTGAAAGTATAGGAAACCAAGGTCAGCCCCAAATTCTCCCCAGAGTGGTTGACATGAATTAGCTCCATGGTGAGAGGAGAAAATGTCATTATCTCCTGTGAGTGATGCTTGGTTATTTCATGCACCACTCCTGCCCTGAGAGGCAGGGGTAACTATTTTTATAACTAAGAAAACAGACTCGAAGGCACACAAAGCCTGCCTAAATTTCCAGAACAAGAAAATCTGCCCGCCCCCAAAACACATAGTCATTTTATAACATCAACTTGCTATTTTGAAAGAGCATCAATAATTCTATTTATAAATAGTATAGATGCTTTCTTAGATGGACCTTCCTATCACCAACCTGCAGTATCCCTTTCTATATCTTTTGGGTGATGTATGCAGTCTGCAGTCCACGTGGGGTCTAGTGTGCCTGTAGGACTCTGCTCCCACTAGATGAGGCAGCCAGTCAAGAATTATGTTAAGCTGAAAACGGTTTGGCTCAGTGGAGAGTGCGTCGGCCTGCGGACTAAGGGGTCCCGGGTTTGATTCCGGTTATATACATTAGTTGCAGGCACATACCCAGTGGTGGGTGTGCAGGAGGCAGCTGGTCGTTGTTTCTCTCTCATCGAAGTTTCTACCTTTCTATTCCTCTGTAAAAAAATCCCTTCTGTAAAAAAATAAAAATGCCGAAACTGGTTTGGCTCAGTGGATAGAGCATCGGTCTGCGGACTGAAAAGTCTCCGGTTCGATTCTAGTCAAGGGCATGTACATTGGTTGCAGGCACATCCTGTGCAGGAGGCAGCTGGTTGATATTTCTCTCTCATCGACGTTTCTAACTCTCTATCCCTCTTCCTTCCTCTCTGTGGAAAATCAATAAAATATATATTTAAAAAATCAATAAAATATTTTTTTTAAAAAGAATTATGTTAAAAGATTTCTTTTTAAGTATATTTTATTGATTTTTTTACAGAAAGGAAGAGAGAGGGATAGGGAGTTAGAAACATCGACCAGCTGCCTCCTGCACAACCCCTATTGGGGATGTGCCCGCAACCAAGGTGCATGCCCTTGACAGGAATCGAACCTGGGACCCTTCAGTCCGCAGGCCGACAGTCTATCTACTGTGCCAAACCAGCTAGGGCTACATCTTGATTTTCTAATGCTTTCTTCATAAAACTATTTTTCTTGCTTTTTCCTGACAGCCTGAGCTCTGCCTTTTGGCTGAGAAGTATAGTGAAATCGAGGCCAATGGATCCAACTGTGTCCTGGTCCTCGTGCATTCCTTGCTAGATTGCTTCTTGCCTCTGTGTCTTTGCGCCTGCTCTCTGACTCAACCCATGAGACCTAAGTAGACCATTGCCTCCTTTCAGAAGCTGTCCAGGATCCCTGTACCTGTCACTATGTTAGCTTGTCACTGCTCACAGCCCTATCTCCCCAGAGAGATGGGTCCCATTTATCTTTGCATTCCTAGCATCCAGCACATAGTATCCCATCCACTCTTTGCTGAATGAATGAAGGACACCTTCTGTCAGACCTATTCCTCCCGCCTTTGGATTCCCACAAAACATGCAAGTTCATCATCCTACAAGACAAGACACTGTGTCCAATGCATTTTAAGAAGGGAATACTGATATTTCTACAGCAAACATCTACATCAGCTAGAAAGCAACAGACCAACTAAAGACTCTGTGAGCATTCTTGTCTTGTTTGCTAAGCAATTTACAACCTTAGCATGAATTATTCTTCTTTGTTAAGGGGGGGGGGGGAGGCAGAAGGACACAATGACATTGTAACATTCAGACTTTTATAATATCTGGATGCACGTAGAGAATACAGAATGCTTCTAAAAGGACAGCCATGCTTTGCACAGTGGTGATGGTGATGGAGATGGGGTCATGGGCTCCAACACCTGGCTTTAACTTGGCTAAGATCTCAAACACTAACTACCTTTCTTTTCTAAACCCAGGGCTCAATCACTTCACTCTCTGGCTAGTGGTCTCAGCCCCTCTTCCCTTCTATTCTGTGCCACACTGACCTGCCAAAACACCACTCTGGCTCTCTACAACCAACCGCTGTTCTCTATCTATCTCTCTCTCTCTTTAAAAATATTTTTGTTGTCCTGGCCAGTTTTGCTCAGTGGATAAGGTGTTGGCCTGCATACTCAAGGGTCCCAGATTCGATTCCGGTCAAGGGCATATACCTTGATTGTGGGCACATTCCCGGTAGGGGGTGTGCAGAAGGCAGCTGATTGATGTTTCTGGCTCTCTATCCTTCTCCCTTCCTCTCTAAAAAATCAATAAAATATATTTAAAAAATATTTTTATTGATTTCAGAGAGGAAGGACGAGGGAGAGAGAGAAACATCAGTGATGAGAAAATCAGTGATTGGCTGCCACCTGTACACCACATACTGGGGGTTGAGCCCACAGCCTGGGCATGTGCCCTGACCAGGAATCGAACTGTGACTTCCTAGTTCATAGGTCAATGCTCAACCATTGAGCCACACTGAGCCAGCTAAGCCCGGTCTCTTTTCTCACACTCAGAACCTGAGCCACACAGAAAATCATAACCCAATAAACAAGGTCACTACAGAGTCCTGCTCTCCAGCCTTAGAGGGGTCTTTAAGGCCACTGGGTGTCCTGTCTGTGCTCTGGTCATTCCTCCCATCAGCTATACCAAACCATCAATCTCATTTCCACCTCATTACCCTCTCTCAAATCTAGAGAGCCCCACCAGCCACAGGATCAAGTTTAAATTCCCTAACACAGCACCAAGGCCTTCCAGGACCTGGGCCTCTCTTTTCAGCCTGACTCTTTATACCCTCCACTCCCAGCAATTTGGAACTTCCCATAATTTCACCAAACCCACCAGCCTTTACTCGAAATGACTTTCCCTTTCTGCAACTTTAGGAAATAACACTCAAAGCTCTGCTAGTGCACCCACATAGCACCTCAACTTACAGATCACAACACTCCTAGTTAATTCAGAGGTTCTCTCCAGGAAGCTGTGCAGGCTGAGGAAAAGGGATTGCTGAATACCAAAATGAAGGAACAAAGCCTGGTGAAATACTCCTGCTGGAAAGCCTTCTTGTACCATGGTTGCCTCGTTGACTTAGCATTGTAAGAATCCTGACATTAAAATCAATAATAAAACCAGGTGCCTCTTTTTGCGTAATTGCTCACAACCTGTTTGAGCTGCTAAAGGTTCGAAGTCACTCCTTTCTCAGTGTTGAAGCTGGAATCTGTCTTTGTGAACTATGCAAATGGTGAGAAATCTCTTGAATTCAAATTTAAATTTCATTGAATTCAAATTTAAATTTCAAAAGTCTGCATCAAATGTCTGCAGAAAGCCTCTTGATTTTTTTCAACTTCTCCTTTAGGGATTTACTCCTTTCCATTTCATTTTTCTTGATACTCAACAGCTGCATATTAATTAGAATGCTAATAAATCAGAGGCTTCCCTGGGCCTGCATTCACCAATTAACTTTAATAAACAAAATGTGTGGTGTCCTCTCCACTGGCTTTCCCTGTTCCGGGCCTGCGTCTGTTGCCGAAGCCTGGATGAAGGCCAGGGAATGGAAGTGGGCCCAACACAGCAGGTCTGGCGGTGGGGGATCAGAGTGGGGGCTGTGAGCACACTGCCACACTCATCTATTATGGTCTGTGCTTCTGAGGAGTCCCTAATTCGACTGGGAGGATTAGTACAAAGTTCTGAACCGGGCCCATGCTGGCAGGGGGCCCGGGACTGCAGAGGAAATGGGTCTGAGAGAAGAGACCATCTGTTCCCTCCAGGTAAAGCAGTGATTGGCAGGCATGTGAGCCAGAGCCGCCTGCTGGTGGGGTGCCCCCTCCATGGCCTATGACAGATATACAAGTAAACAAATCCGCCAGCCACTTATGACCACCACAGGCAGCAGTCCCAGGAGGATAGGTAACCTAATCAAATATTCAAGTAGGAACACAACAGAATCTCTGGTGCTTAGGCAAAGCCAGGTTTTGCTGAAGTATAGCCAGGAAGGAGTAAGGTCTGAAAGGAAGCTGCTGAGTCCATTCCTCATCCCCTGCTTTTCTCTCCTGAAACGTGTTCACATTTTAGTCACGTTGCTGAGTGTCTGCTGCTGGATCTATTAACTGGCTCTTGCATTGGTTCTAATCCATCTGTTTTTAGGCCCAAAGCTCTTGTGGAACTCCTTGAAGTTTCATAATGATTTGCAATTATTTGTGACTCTTTATCACTTAGATAGGCCTAAATATGTTATTTGCAGGAAGATATAATCAACTACTTCAGTCATTTCCTTTTTTCTGATCGCCACACACCTAGAAACCATCCCACTGTGTAGCCTGCTTTACAACAGAGGAATCTGGGAGGCAGAGGAAAGTTGGCTTTAGGCCTAGAATCCTCAGGGCCTTTCCTGAGCCTGGCCTCCTCTCACTTGCTCCGCAGGTGATGAGTTCATTCACCCACAGCCACTGAAACAGTGAGTCCCACAGCACCATCTCCAGCCCCCGGCCCTCCTGAGTTATGGGTTAGAAAGCCCAAATGTATCTGGACACATTCATGTGCTTATCCCTGGCTACCTCAAACTCAACAAGGGCAAAATGGAACCCATGCTTTTGCCTCTACTGTGAAACCACCACCTAATGGACAGAACCACCCACTCCAAGTCAGAAGTGGGGAGCCAGTGGTGTGCTGCTAAGCATTTAGCAACTGGCTCTCTGAGTGGGAGAAGAAAGCTCTGACTTATAGTGTTTAACAATTGTGGTACAAAGCCTCCTACTATTGCCAATTTAGTAGGCTTCCCACCTGATCTCTCTACATCCACTCATGCCTCCTCTAACCCATTTCCCACAAAGCAGCCAGTGACTTTTCATAACAAGAACCTGAGCAATTCCCCTTCTAGGTATATATGTTTTCACTACCCAAGAGTAGTGAAAACATATATCCACACCAAACTTGTTCATGGATGTTCATAGCAGCATTACTCACAAAAACCAAAAAGTGGAAACAATGCCCATCAACTGACAAATGAATAAAATGTTAGTTCCAAAATATGGAATATTATTCAGCCATATAAAGGAATGAAGTTCTGACGCATCCTATCTAATATTGAGGGAATATGCAAATTGACCATAACTTCATCACAAAGATGGCTGCACCCACAGCTGAGGCCAAGTTCCCTTAAGGAGCCTTAAAGAGCAATCAGCAGGGACTGGAGGCTATGCCCTCCCCTGCCCCTGCGGGACTTGACTGTGCCCCCACCTGGCAAGGCTTGACAGGGGACCTCAAGTGAGCTTCCCATCCTGGTGCTGGGCTAGGGGACCTCAGTCTGCTCCCCCCACCCCAGCGCCAGGCTGGGGGAACCTCAGGCTATGCCTCCCACTCTGCAGTGCTAAACAAGGGATCTCATGCTGCGCCCCCTCACCCACAGGGCTTGACAGGGACCTCAAGGCGCGCTTCCCATTCTGGTGCTGGGCTAGGGGACCTCAGGCTGCTCCCCTCCGCCCCAGCACCAGGCTGCAGGACCTCAGGTCATGCCCCCCACCAGCAGGGCTTGATAGGGGACCTCAAGGTTCACTTCCTGTCCTGGTGCTGGGCTAGGGGACCTCAGGCTGCTCCCCCTAACCCAGCACCAGGCTGGGAACCTCAGGCTACGCCCCCCAACAGGTGAGGTTTGACAGGGGACTTCAGGACTCGCCCCCAACCCTGGCACCAGGCTAGGGAACCTCAGACAGGTACCTGCTTGACAGGGCACCTCAGGCCATGCCTCCCACCCAGTGGGGCTTGACAGGGGACTTCAAAGTGCAGCCCCAGTACTGGGTTGGGGGAACTGAGGCTGAGCCTCCCTCCCAGTGCTGGGCTGGGAGACATGGCCTGAGGTCCCCTGTCAAGCCCAGCTAGGCAGGGGAGTGCAGCCTTGGGTCCCCCAGCCCAGTGCTGAAGTGGGGGGCATGGCCTGAGGTCCCTGCCAACTCCCGCTGGGCAGAGGCAGTGGTCTGGGGTTCCCCGGCCTGGCAATGGGGTAGGGGAGCAGCCTGAGTTCCCCTAGCCCAGCACCAGGATGGGAAGCGCACCTTGAGGTCCCCTGTCAAGCCCTGCCAGGTGGGGGGTGTGGCCTCAGGCCCCTGTTGATTGCTTGTTGTTTTTTTTTGTTTTTGTTTTTTGATTGCTTGTTAAAGTTCCTTATGGGAACTTGGCCTCAGCTGTGGGTGCAGCCATCTTTGTGACAGAGTGATGGTCAATTTGCATATTCCCTCTTTATTAGATAGGATGATTTTTGCAAAGAAAATTCTATGGATAATGGAGAGTCTTCAGTAAATGGTACTAGAACAACTGGAAAGCCAGGAACATGAAAAAAACTAAAGCTAAACATAGAACTTACATCTTTCACAAAAATTAAGTCAAAATGGATCATAGTCCTGGCTGGGTGGCTGAGTTAGTTGGAGTGTCCTGTATACCAAAGGGTTTCAGATTTGATCCATGGTTGGGATGAATACAGGAGACAACTGATTGAGGTTTCTCTCTCACATGAGTGTCAGGTCACTGCAGGGTCCCGAGCACTTAGCACGCGCCAGGCCCATGAGAGATGCTCAACCAGCACGCGGAACAAGGCTCCAGGAGCACGCATTGGTAGGGTCTTGGGAAAGAAAATGGATGAAGAAGGCCCCAGGGGGCTGTTTGGACCTGTTGGGCCAGGGTATCCTCACCTAGCTGGCTCCCAACCAGCTTCCTTTTCGCGGCTCTCCTCGCCCCGCTGCTGCTCCCTGCTCGCCCCCAGCGACCGCGGCTCCTGGTCCTTGCATTGGGTGAGGGGCATGTCCACCTGTGAGCACAGTCCGCGCGTGAGAGGCCGGAGGAGGGAAGGCGACAAGTGGTCACGACGACCCCCTCCTCCCGCCCCTTCGGCCCTGGGCTCCTCCTAGTGACATAGGGGGGACCCGCAGAAGAGACGGCTGAGCCAGGGCAGGTGGGGGAGTGAGGTGGGGGAGTGAGATGGGGGAGTGAGGTGAGGAAAACTGCGCCTGGAGGGCAGAGGCGGGGACACTGAGGGGCCGGGGTGAGGGCAGAGGCTCCGGGGGGGCCTGGGCTCCTAACTGGTAGTTTGTGTTGAGTCGAGTCCTTCGAGGAGGGAGAAGAGGGGGGAGAAAAGAACAACGGGTGCGGCACATGGGCGTCTGATCCACTCTCTAAGCTGCTTCCGCCCCGCGCCCCGCGTGGAAGTCCGTCCTTCAGGCCCCGCTGTCAGCGCGTCAGTCACACTCAGGCCCCGTCAGTCAGTCAGGAAGTCGGGCCGCCCGGGCGAGGGTGACACCCCCCACCCCCGCTGCCAGGCGAAGGTCCGCGCGGAAGCCCGAGATCGCCGCCGCCGCCCCCTGCCCATCCTCCCGCCGCCCGCGCGAAGAAAACAAGCGTCGCGTACTCCCTGTCGTTCCATCTTGTCTTTTCCCGCCCTCTCGCACGCGCCCTCTGCGCACGCGCCGGCCTCAGGTCTAGCTGGGAACGTGCGCGCGCAACAGCGGGCCGACCGTTAATGACCGTTGGGCCCTCTTGGGGTTGCGCGCGCAGCACGCTCTGCTGAAAGCTTGTGGGGCGGTGGTCTCTGCGCGCGCATGCGCGCTTTAGTAGTTCCGGATCCAATGTGGGTCGAAGGATCTTTTCAATAAAATATTTTTAAAATTATATTTTATTGATCTGATATATTTATCCATGGGTTGCCCCTGGTATGTGCCCTGACCTGGAATGAAACCCTTCGTAAAAGGGAGGTCGCGACCTAATCGGTTTGGCTCAGTGGATAGAGCATCGGCCTGCACAGAAGGGTTCCAGGTTCCATCCCCATCAAGGGCATGTACCTTGGTTGCGGGCACATCCCCAGTAGGGAGTGTGGAGGAGGCAGCTGATTGATGTTTCTCTCTATCCCTCTCCCTGTCCTTCTCCCTTCCTCTCTAAAAAAAAATCAATTAAAAAAAATTTTTTAAGTGAGGACGCTCCAACCAACCGAGTCACAGGGACCAGACCAGGGTTGTTCAATAACAAATTCTGACCTTTGTTGTTCCCTGATTTTGACTTGTCACCTCTAATAAAAAAAAGTTCATTCAGTTACCACCTCGAATCACTTGCCTGTGTGCTCCAGAACCAGAAGCTCCTTGAAAAATCAGGGTGGGCCTGGCCCTTAGAGTTGGAGATTTTATACACACACACACACACACACACACACACACACACACACAACCATTCAGTCAACCAGAATGACCTGAACGACCAGTCACTATGATGCCCACTGACCACAAGGGGCAGATGCTCATCACAGGAGCTGCCTCCGGTGGTTAGTGTGCTACCACAGGGGAAATGCTGCTCAGCCAGAAGCCTGGTTCACAGCTGGTGCAGCAGCGCTACCAAAGGCGAAGGCAGCAGCTGCAACAGCAGTGGGGTTTGGATGAGCGGGATGAGCGGGGAGCATTGGGGCGCTCGTTTGGGTCACTGCGACATCCCCTGGGGTCCCGATGGCAAGAGGGCACAGGCCGGGCTGGAGGAAACCCACCAGTGCACGAATCCGTCTTTATATTTTTAAATTTTTTAAATTAAATTATTATCTGTGTACATATTTTAACATTGCCCCCCCATACATCGAATCTGTCTTTTAATACCGTGTTTCCCCGAAAATAAATTTTTTTCTTTTTTATGGCAGCATAATATTCCATTGTGTAAATGTACTATAGTTTTTGGATCCAATCATCTGCTGATGGGCACGTAGGCTGTTTCCAAATCCTAGCTATTGTAAATTGTGCTGCTATGAACATAGGGGTGCATATATCCTTTCTGATTGATGTTTCTAGCTTCTTGGGATATATTCCTAGGAGTGGGATTACTGGGTCAAATGGGAGTCCCATTTTCAGTTTTTTGAGGAAGCTCCATACTGTTCTCCACAGTGGTTGCACCAGTCTGCACTCCCACCAGCAGTGCACAAGGGTTCCTTTTTCTCCGCAACCTTGCCAACATTTGTCATTTATTGATTTGTTGATGTTGGCCATTCTGACAGGTGTGAGATGGTACCGAATTGTTGTTTTGATTTGCATTTCTCAGATAATTAGTGACTTTGAGCATGTTTTCATGTGCCTCTTGTCAATTTCCTCCTCTTGTCTAATTGCAATGGCTAGTACTTCCAGCACTATGTCAAACAGGAGTGGTGAGAGTGGGCATCCCTTTCTTGTTCCTGTTCTTAAAGGGAATGGTTTTAGTTTCTGCCCATTGAGTATGATGTTGGCTGTGGGTTTATCATATATTGCTTTTATTATGTAGAGGTATGATCCTTGTACTCCCATATTGTTGAGAGTTTTTATCAGGAAAGGGTGTTGGATTTTATCAAATGCTTTTTCTGCATCAATTGATATAACTATATGATTTTTATCTTTCAATTTGTTTATGTGATGTATCATGTTTATTGATTTGCGGATATTGTACCATCCTTGCATTCCTGGAATAAATCCTACTTGGTCATGGTGTATGATCTTTGTGATGCTCTGCTGGAGCCGATTTGCTAGAATTTTGTTGAGGATTTTGGCATCTATGTTCATGAGGGATATTGTCCTGTAATTCTCTTTCATTGAGTTGTCTTTATCTGGTTTTGGTATTAGGGTGATGCTGGCTTCATAGAAGGAGTTTGGAAGTGTTCCTTCCTCTTGGATTTTTTGGAATAGTCTGAGGATAGGTTTTAGTTCTTCCTTGAATGTTTGGTAAAACTCTCCTGTGAAGCCATCTGGTCCTGGAATTTTGTTTGCTGGAAGCTTTTTGATGACTGTTTCAATTTCTTCCCAAGTTACTGTTTTATTGAGATTTATAGATTCTTTCTGATTGAGTTTTGGAAGTTTGTATTTCTCTAGGAATATGTCCATTTCCTCCAGGTTGTTCAGTTTGTTGGAATAGAGTTGTTCGTAGTATTTTGTAACAATCCTTTGTATTTTGGCGGGGTCTGTTGTTATTTCACCTCTTTCATTTCTGATTTTGTTTATTTGGGTCCTCTCTCTTTGTTTCTTGGTTAGCCTGGCTAGAGGTTCATCTATTTTGTTTATCCTTTCAAAGAACCAGCTCTTGGTTTTGTTGATCTTATGTATTATTTCTTTGGTCTTTATGTCGTTTATCTCTGCTCTAATTTTTGTTATTTCCTTCCTTCTGCTTACACTGGGCTTTTGTTGCTCTTTTTCTAACTCTTTGAGTTGTAGAGTTAGATCATTTGTTACCATTTTTTCTAGTTTTTTTGCAATAGGCTTGTAGGGATATGAACTTCCCTCTCAAAACTGCTTTTGCTGTGTCCCATAGATTTTGGATTGTTGTGTTTTCATTGTCATTTGTTTCCAGAATGTTTTTAGTTTCTTCCTTGATTTCTCTGGTAACCCAGTCCTTGTTTAATAGCATGCTGTTTAGTCTCCATGTGTTTGATTTCTTTGGATTATTTTTATTGTAGTTAATTTCCAGTTTTATGCCACTATGATCTGAGAAGATGCTTGATATGATTTCTATCTTCTTGAATTTGAAGAGACTTTGCCTATGTCCCAAAATGTGGTCTATCTTTAAAAATGTCCCATGTGCACTTGAGAAGAATGTATATTCTGTGGCTTTGGGGTGTGATGTTCTGAAGATGTCGATTAATTCCATCTGGTCTAGTGAATCATTTAGGATTGATATTTCTTTGCTGATTTTTTATTTAGATGATTTGTCGAAGGATGACAGTGGGGTATTAAAATCTCCTACTATGATTGTATTGCTATTAATCTCTCCCTTAATGTCCTCCAGCAGTTTTTTTAAATGTATTTCTGTGCTCCTGTATTGGGTGCATATATATTTACCAGGATTATTTCTTCTTGTTGGATTGCTCCCTTTAGTATTATGAAGTGACCTTCATTATCTCTTGTTATGTCCTTCACTCTGAGATCTAATTTGTCAGATATAAGTATTGCTACCCCAGCTTTTTTTCATTTCCATTTGCCTGGAAAACCTTTTTCCATCCCTTCACCCTCAGTCTGTGTGCATCTTTTTTTCTGAGGTGGGTTTCTTGTAGACAACAGATGTATGGGTCTTGTTTTCTTATCCAATTTGTTACCCTATGTCTTTTCATTGGAGCATTTAAACCATTTACATTTAAAGTTATTAATGATAGGTATATTTTATTGATTTTTTACAGAGAGGAAGAGAGAGGGATAGAGTTAGAAACATCAACGAGAGAGACTCACCGATCAGCTGCCTCTTGCACCACCTCTACTGGGGATGTGCCCGCAACCAAGGTACATGCCCTTAGACCGGAATCGAACCCGGGACCTTTCAGTCCACAAGCTGATACTCTATCCACTGAGACAAACCAGTCTTGGCACAAACATTTAAAAAACATTTTTTTAAATTGATTTCAGAGAGGAAGGGAAGAGAGATAGAAACATCAATGATGAGAATCACTGATTGTCTGCCTCCTGCACGCCCCACACTAGGGATCAAGCCCACAAAATGAGTGTGCCCTGACCAGAGTCGAACCATGACCTCCTGGTTCATAGGTCAAAGCTCAACCACTGAGCCACGCCGGCCGGGCAAGGGCACTCATCTTGATGCCTACATTCTGGAAAACATGGATTTGAATCTGGGTTCTGTCTCTTACCATAATGATGACATAAAACTGCTACTCACTCTCAAGTCCCATCTTCATCTACTACAGGTAGATGATACAATCTAAAATATCTGGCTGTGCCGAAACCGGTTTGGCTCAGTGATAGAGCGTCGGTCTGCGGACTGAAAGGTCCCAGGTTCGATTCCAGTCAAGGGCATGTACCTTGGTTGTGGGCACATCCCCGGTTGGGGGTGTGCAAGAGGCAGCTGGTCGATGTTTCTCTCTCATCGACGTTTCTAGCTGTCTCTCTCTCTTCCTCTCTGTAAAAAATCAATAAAATATATATTTTTAAAAAATAAAATATCTGGCTATTGTAGGGGTTTCAGGGATAAAACTTCTGGAACATACCAAGAGTTTAATAAATAATAGCTAACAATAGTTTGTGGTAAAGCTACACGTTAAACAAAATACATCTTCCTACACCATTGGATTTGAAAACTGAAGGACTATGCTCAGAAAAGTCTCAAATGCTTGCTGTTAAGCATGCACACACAAACACAAACACTCGGAACTCAAAAGCAACTCACAAGATGCAGGAGGATTTTTACGGTGCACCCATCATTTGTATGACTTTCAAAAACATGCAAAAATGCTGAAACCGGTTTGGCTCAGTGGACAGAGCGCCTGCGGACTGGAAGGTCCCAGGTTTGATTCTGGTCAAGGGCATGTACCTTGGTTGCAGGCACATCCCCAGTAGGGGATGTGCAGGAGGCAGCTGATCAATGATTCTCTCTCATCGATGTTTCTAACTCTCTATCCCTCTTTTCCTCTTTGTGAAAAACCAATAA